CTCATCCGATTCTGATCCTGAAATAGCATCCTCAAATCTGCAAAGACACCTCTCCTTGATTGAGCACTGGTCTAGTAACTGATACATTAAAGTGAATGAATTCAAATGCCAACATATTACCTTTACACTCCGTTGTGATTCCTGTCCACCAGTACACTTTAATCCCATCCAGTTTCCTTTCTCGGACACAGTCCGGTATCTAGGCTTTCTTTTAGACCGAAGACTAACATGGAACCCACATACAAAACTTAAAAGACTAGAACTCAACTGAGGATACGGCCAACTATACAGACTACTAAACAGAAAATATAAACTTTCTACTGAAAACAAATTACTTATATACAAGACAATCTTGAAACCTATGTGGACATACTAATTTGAACTATGGTGGACAACAAAATTTCCTAACATCAAATACATTCATTCCTTTCAATCTAAAGTCCTTTGAACAATAGTTGATGCTCCATTTTATGTAACCAACAAAATCCTACACCATGACCTTAATATCCCATTTGTCCTAGACCTTATCCCCGAAAAATTCTCCAAATTTCACCAGAACCTTACCTATTATCCAAATCACTTGCACAATCCCAATCCAGCACCACCAATCCCTACAATCCTCCTCGAAGGTTAAAGCGGCAGTGGCCTAGAGATCTTTAGTAAATAAGTATATATGGGAATTTTGGCAATGGCCAAATTCTCCACTCAAGCCATATATGTGCCTCTGTTCAGCCTCTACTGGACTTTAATACCAATGACATGGCTAAGGGAGGGACACTGGGATCTCCTAGAGTCCTGCCTTTCCTTCCACGAGTGGGGAGAAAGGCTTGGCTCAGAGATCTCGAGTGAATGAATTTTTTTGTTTAGATATTGTATAGAAGCATGTATGTATTTGAGTAGTTATTTTCATTAGCTTAGTTTCTATTTATTTAGTTTAGTTTATATACATTTACTTATACAGTAATAGTAATAATAATAATAATACTTATTTAGTATTATTATTTTCTGTATTATTTATTTTTATTTACGGTGAATGGAGTGTGAATGTGCTCTTTGAACACTATTATAAATGTCATTAATTGTGACAGATTGTAATATCTCTCAATAAATATGTAAAAATAAAAAAAATTTCTGAGAGGATTTTTTTTCATGCCGTATACTAAAATATTCATAACTCCTTACGATTTTTTCCTAAGTCAATGTTACAGTTACTGTTGGAAAGCTAAATTATTGCTCTATAAAACTATACCAATAACGTTCAGATTTTATGTCTTTATAAGGAATAAATAAATAAAACCGTTGAAAAACTCTTAGGAAAAAATCCGAGGGGTTATGAATATTATAGTATATGGCATGAAAAAAATCCTCCCAGAAAATTAACTCCATAAATAATGACCATAAATAAAAATAATATTTCTTTGATTTTGATATAAACTTATATTCAAGAGTTCTTTTGGACCCTAAAAACGAAAGTGAATCCCTTTTTTATGACAAAAATTTACTTGGCCTGCTTCACTGGAAGCGTCTTCGGTTTTTTCTAATTTATTGTACATTAGAGTTTGTTCAACACGATTAGCAATCTTATTTTACATAAAAAAACAAATTGAATGATATACAACAACTTACAAATCCATGCAGAGAAAATTCAGAAAACATTAATATAAAATAATAATAAAATTTTATAAAATATATTTTTCTCATTTCCTAGGGCGAATTGGCAAGAATCCTCGGATATGGGTCAAATATTCTTTGACCTAGTACCACCAAAAAAAGTTTCATTGAAATCGGTGACCCCACCCCACGTCCAAAACCTCCTCTTGTTAGACAATAATAAAATCTTATAGAAACAATAAGTAAACAAAATAATATAGAACAAAATAGAAATAACAATAAGATATACTAATACTGTAAAATGTATTTATCCAGACAGACAAGAGACAAGATTTTCCTGCAGTGAAAAACAAAAAACATGCAGTAAAAAATGAAACATGTGCAAAATCATGCATTAAAAACTAAAAGTGTGTCAATGTGTATATAACAACTTAAACAGCTATGTTATCTGCATATTTAAGGATTCTATAATTCATTCCGACATGCAGTCCTCCATTTTCACATGATGTTGTACTCATTACCTTCTCTAGGGCTTAGTTGAACAGCATTGACAACAGTCATTCTCCCTGCTGCAAAATAATTCGAACGTTGAAGGCTTCTTATATAATGTTTCAAGTTATTATCCTTATATCAATATGACATTTAGGATCATTCGTACAAGCCATCGCCAATCTCATCAAATTCTTAGAAACTTTCAGCTCAGTCATCATTTTTCAAATACAGTTTTTGTCTACTGGCAGGCAGCTTTGAAATCAACAAACAAGTAGTGCTATTCCTGGGCTGATTCCCATTATTTTTCAAACACCTACTTTAAGACAAAGATCTGGTGTACGCTCATTCCTCTTCTGAATTCAGTCTTGGTGGTCACTTATAATGTTTTTGAAAAACAAATATATCCAGTTTAGCAGGATAAGGATCATTATCTTGTAGGCAAAAGGGAGGAGTGCTATGTCTCTTTACACATATAGATAGAGCCCTTCTCTAACTGGTATCCTTTCCTCCTCCCATATTTTCTTAATTAGTTGTAGTAGCTCGGTACTTCTTCCATATCTTTAAAGAGCTCTGAAAGTAGGTTGTCCTTCACTGGAGCCTTTCTTGTTTTAATGTTAATTAAGGGAAAAATTATAAATAAAAAATATATCAAAATTTAAATACATAATACATTTACCAAGAGTATAAATATGAAATGGAAATTTGTTCAAAGATAGCTCTATTTGTTAGTGTACTTGCTAAAAATCACATTTTTGGCACCATTTTAAGAAAGATTTTCAACAGTACAAGTTTCATATAACAACATCGTTTCAATAGTGCTGAAAATTTTGAATTTTTTGCCTATGGCATTAGTATTCAGTTATCTTTTCAAGAAAACTGATGCAGAATTATTTTCCAACCTTACAGTGAGCATACTCTTGATAAATTAGTGCTTTAATAAAATTTAAAAGTGACAATTTTGACATCAGAAATGAACAATATGAAAAAACCAACAAAAACATTTAAAGAAAGTGAATTACAAGCATTGTTGGATAAGGATGATACTCAAATCTGACAACTCAATTGGATCAATTGAATGTAACACAAGAAACTGTCTCCATATATTTGAAAGAAATGGGGAAAATTGGTTATACAGGAACTGAAGAAAGACAGAACAGCAAAAAAAGAAAGGAAAATCACTTCCGAAATCTTGCTGGTCAGATACAAAAGAAAGTCATTTCTCCATTGAATTTTGACATGTGATGAAGAATAGATATATTTTGAGAATCCTAAGCATCAAAGATCATGGATAAGTCCAGGCGAACCATCAACAAATATTGCAAGGCTAAGTCGCTATGGAAAGAAGACAATAATCTGTGTTTGGTATGATCAGAAGGGTGTGATCTATTATTTGCTGCTATATTCTGGAGAAACCATTAATACTGAATGCTATCTATAAGAAATGATCATTTTGAATTGAATATTGGGAGAAAAACAATCAGAATATTAAAAAGACAAATAAAAGTGTGCACCGTTAGACACAGCAAAACCAGTAAAGAAAACTATTGAGGCTACAGTTGAAAAATACTAGCGCATGCGGCTTGGTTTACTTACCAGATTTGACTCAGTAGTAGGCTACTATTTGCGTCGATGGGGCACATACTTGCTCAGCAGTGTTTCACTTCTTATGAGAATGTACTAATATGGCTTGATAAATAAAACAGCAACAGTTATTCCAGCAAGGCAATTTTAAATTGCCAGAAAGATAGAAAAAAATGTATAACTAGTAATGAAAAATACTTTTAAAAAAAAATGTTTTAACATTTTTTTTCATTAATGGAATATTTTCTAAATAAAAATTCCGGTTTCATATTTATCTGGTATATAAATTGGCTACACTGCACTGGTAACACTGTTCAAGTATAATTTCTATTATTGTTATTATTAATTTAATTTGTATAATTGTTAAGGTGTGACTTTATTCTGCATTAAAACAATTAAATTACACATCCTTTTAGAGTAAGGAATAATAAAATGTATAATATTGTTTATAAAATGAAATGTATGTACTAGAATAATAATAATTTTTTTACCTATATCAAACATCTATAAATCCCAAAAATCTATAATACCTCCACACTCCAGAAATAGAACGATTTTGATGAAATTTCCCTATAATTTTCTAATTAATGTCCTTTCAATTTTTTACATGTAGTAAATTCCCGAGAAAATTCAGGAAAATAAGTAATAAAGAAAAGAAAAATGTTTTATGGCTAATTATAGATTCATGGTAAACTAAATATAAAAACTTTTGAAAGGTATTATATTAACTAAAAAACAAAAAAAATTCATCGGAATCGAAGGGAGATTTAAAGATATAAAATTTTTTCTGAAATCGGTACGAAAATCGTGTGAGTGGATACACCAGATTTTTTTGGTTTAAATAACCAATTTTAGGCAATTAAAATTAAAATTTAACCCTAAAAATGCACAATAGGCTATTTCATGCAACAATAAATCAAATATTGCATTTCATGTAATAATAATTTTTTTTATTATTTCATGGTCCATGAAATGGCTAGATAATTGGGTTCAAAGTTGTATTACACAAGCGAATAGAAAAGGCTTTAACATGGCAATCCATTTGTTACTACCATCATAATCCTTTCAGTTCGAAATTTTAATGATGAGAATTTTTTAAAGATTCAAGTTTTTTTTTTTTATAGTCTTAGACTGTTGGTATGTGACTTGATATAGGTATTCTTAAATAGTTAAACATTTTTTCTACAGTATGTTTCTGCAACCATGATACAAACAAACACCATAAGCATATAAACAGCAATTAGTGGATAAATAACTCAATCAAAAACAGTAACCATACTATAAAATAGGCAAGTTATAAAACTAAATTTACTCACTTTCTTCCAAACCACATGCTACTGATGATGTGGTAACTAAACAAAATGGTGCGAACATGTTACCAAAATACTGAGCAGTAACAGAAAAATGTTGCTTTGAAGCCCACAGGAAAAGATAGATAAACGATGCTGTTCCAGCAATGCCACGGAGAATGGCTAAAGAAAAAGATAAAAACCAATAATTAGTTAATTATAGTTGAATAAACCTAATAAGAAAAATATTAAACAAATTCATTTCAAGGCATAATTTAAGCCAGGGATCTCCAAACTTTTTGGACCTCGGGACACATTGAGTCCTCCACTAAATCCCGTAGACAGCAGCGAGACCTCTACTAAGTCCAGTGGACAATAGTTTGTGATGAAAAAAAAAAACTTGTTCTATAAATGACACTTGTGAAATGAGCTTTCTAAGAGAAGCAATTCATGCAATAAATGTTGCAGGAACCTTCTGTTAAATTGATTTAATAAATTTCGTGTTTTTTTAACCCTTTAGATGCGCAAAGCCAATAGGCTATTTCATGCAACAATAAATCAAATATTGCATTTAATGTAATAATAATTTTTGGTATATAGTGACAACAGAAAGATCATGCCCTGCCACCCTGAGCCAATATATCGGCTTCAGCTCTTCATCGTTTAGTTGCGCAAATCCAATATTCTGGTTCGTCACAGAGCTCTCTACTGGGAGCCCCATGAGTCATTGGTTATTGCTGGAACCACTAGGTAGCGTAAGGTGTATTATTTATTCGCAGGTACCCTTTAGGGGAGGGCTCTGACCTCAGCCTTTTCTATACCTGCTGCTTAGGGGGCAAACGGGTAGGGTAACGGGAGGTCTAGAGAGGTAGATGGATGCGGGAGTCTCCCCCACTCTTTGCGGAACGATCGAGAGTCAGTGCCCTACCCACTGCTAGTCTGCTAGTGAGTTCCCAGATCTCTTTATCAACCAACGCCTACTGTCACCTCCATGTGGTGCCCCCCCGGAGAGTCCAATGGGACTCGTGAACGACAGAGGTGGGGTTCGTCAATTATGCAACAGTGTTTCAATCTGAAATACTGGCAATAACTCACTGTGCTTCAAAAATGTTGCTTGATGGATTAGTTGGGAGGAGATTAGCAATATATACAGACAGTCAAGCGGCCATACAAGCACTAGACAACTATTAATAAGGTATACATTGAATGGGTTCCGGGTCACTTTGGAATTCATGGTAATGAAATGGCTGATGAACTAGCCAGACAAGGCTCACAAACGACACCCATAGCTCCGGAACCCATCTGTAGTATTAGTCAGTGTCTGACAACAAACAGAATCAGAGATATATGGTGCTGAAAACGAAAAGAATTAGTTATTGAAAAAGAAGACATGTGAAAAGGAATCGGACAGAAATCAATAACACCATCTATCAAAACCAATTCTCAACCAGTGACTAATTCTAGCAATCAAGACAAACATTTTGCAACTTCAAACCCTCCTATTCATGTTCAAAATTTCAAAAATTTATGTCAAAGCTTGGAATCCAAAGTTGGTCCTCGAGGATTTTACTTTAAGCATAAATCAAACAACTATCTGCCCGACAACCTCAGATGACTATCATAAAATTATTAAATTACTACAAATCCAAAATGCTCAATTCCACACATACCAATTTCAAGAAGAAAAAGTTTTTCATATTGTTATTAGAAATCTCCCTCATTCTACTCCAACTGAAAACATAAAATTTGAACTGAATGAACAATTATACAATGTTAAAAATATCGCCAATGCACAACACCCTAAGACTAAATTTCCCTCACCGATATTTTTTATTGATTTAGAACAAAATCCAAAAAATCAGGAGTATTCAAACTCGAATATTTGTTTCACCAAATTCATGCAAAAAGAACCACCATAATGTCAACGATGACAAGCTTACGGTCACACAAAAGGTTACTGCAGACTTCCTGCCAAATGCGTCAAGTGCGCAGGATCACATCCTACAGCGTACTGCTCAAAACCTAGAGAAACACCTGCCACTTGTGTCAACTGCAATGATGCTCACCCTGCCAACTTCAATGGATGCGCTGTCTTTAAAGCTTTAAAAGAACTTAGAAACAAGCAATTTACTAATAATATGACCTCAGGAACTAGAGAATATGAACATACTCCCTCGTCTCCAACCAAAAATCTGGGAGATACTAACAAAGCCAACACAACTCTATGCAAAACAACAGATGAAGATAATTAGCCAAATCAAAAACTAGTGGAGGATAGTGCTCCATCCAAACAGGTTGTTGAACCAGCTGCAAAGGTAGCAGGGTGTTATTCTTCCGCAATTTCTTTTTATCCTCCTCCTCTATCACTTGATATTTCATCGACTATAAAATCATCAATTGAACCTTTTTTATTTGAGCTTAAATCTTTTCTTTCTCCAATTCTGGAACTTCTCACTAATTAATATCAAACTCTTCTTATGCAAAAATGAACTAGAAATTTGTCTAAAAGATCACAACATAAACATTACTTTAATAACAGAAACTCATTTAACTGACAAACAAACATTCAAGATATAAGGTTACCAAACTTACAGGACCGATCATCCAGACCACATGGCTCACGGAGGTACAGCAATCATCGTCGACAAAACACTGAATCATCACTTACTCTGCTGCCCCAACTAATATTATTCAGTACACCAATATTTCTCTCAACTCCTTGAAATTTCAGCTTTTGGTCGCCGCAGTTTATTTTGCCCCCAGCTAAGTTCTCTTCTAATGAGTTAACGAATCTTTTCCCCATTGATGGGAAAACGTTTCTTAGTAGGTGGAGACTTCAAAGCTAAGAACCTAAAGTGGGGCTCCCGACTAACAAGCACTTGAGGTAGAAGACTGCTAAAATGCATTGAGGAATTAAGGTTTACTCTCATTTCCCCATCTCAACACACATATTGGCCTATATTCCTATCAAAATCTACTGATCTCCTAGATTTCTTTGTCACACGCTCTTTACCACTTCCTTACTCCAACATTTCCTCACTTTTCAATCTATCATCTGATCATAGCCCTATTTCACTAGGACTATCAAAACACCCTTTTGTAAAAACTAAACTCCCGACACTAATTAATGGCTACATAAACTGGGACAACTTTAAAAACTATATAAACAACAAACTTATACTAAATACTTCCATTACAACAGTCGACGAACTAGACAATGCAGTCAACGATTTTACAGAATATATTCAAAATGCGGTCTGGCATTCGACTACACCAGCGATCTGTTAGTAAAACTGAACAGACTATATGCAACCTCATAAACGAAAAACGCAGAACTAGAGCTCTATGGCAAAGAACCAGATAGCCATAACACAAAACAGCTTTTAACAAACTAACCCTGAAAACTCCATCAAGAACAGCCAGCATTAAAAAATAACAAATACAGGGACTACCTAAAGTCAATGAACGATAGGAATGGATCGACATGGATAGCAACAAGGGGTATACTAAAGACAAAAGATGTTCAATATCCTATCCGACGTACAGACAATACCTGGGCCATAACAGGCGAAGAAAAAGCAGTACTTGTGAGCGACGCGGCCTCTGCTAAACTTCCCTTCTTATGTTATGATACATCACATAACCTGCCTTTTAATCTTCTGTAAGCTGTTGCATGTGTGTTTTTCGTTGTGCGTTATTGAAATGGATGTAATTACATTGTGGGAATTGCCGTCTTCAGAAGAAAAGGCTATAAAATATTTTCAAGATGCAGGCATAATTGCGAAAAAAAAACAAAAAAAAAACACCATTTTTATAATTTTACATCCATTTGCACTGTTTTTAAGAGAAGAGGAGATTAATAAATTTTCTTGGGAGGGCGGGCATGCACCATTGGCTTTGATGGCCATGACTGACTGCAACAACATCTAAAAAAAGGTTTCACAAGCAAACAGAAAATTTAACAAGGTTTAATCACAATCCAAAAAATAAGCAGTCAGCAAATTAAAAATAAATATATCAAGAATTATACTTATTAAAATAGTTATATCATTATATCTAAAGTATAAAATAAAGTTTATATACTTACTACTATTAAAAAAGGATGCCACACCAAGAAAATAAACTGTGCAATGAATACTCAATAGAAATAATGTCACAAAAAGTGAAAAGAAATCTATATTTTCTATAATTGGCGGGCCTCCCAATCGAATTTTTAACAATAGTGAAAATAACAGAGCAGAGATCAATTGCTTGATACCAGCATGCATGACATAGCTGCATACTATAGACCAATCACTAACTCCATACATTCTCATTCTTTCCTGAAACCATTGAGAGGAATGTAATAGGCCGCTAACAATATATAAATTCATCACATAATTAATCATTTTATTGTTTCCTATAACTCTTAACCAAATGGAATGAGTAAGATAGATCATAAGTAATTAACATCATATATATTGCAATATTGACCTTTATTGAAAGTTGGTAAAAATGGTTTAGTAAATTAATGTTGAACAGTTAAAAGGCAAGGTTATATAGTTCTGCTAATGTCTGGGGATGTTTAAATTTGAAAAATAGTTTTACTAGTTCAGGGAAAAGAAAATGACTGCTATGGAGTTCCTCCCCCCCAAAAAAAATCCCAAAGAGGGGAGGAACAAAGGATTTTTATTTTGGTAGTCAGTTGTTGTTTGTCGCGTCTTGTGTGAGCGGAGTGGCCGAATGGGCTAACGCGTGTGCACTGCACCGCTGTTGTTTGACAACCTGATATATAAGATATCGATAAAAAATAGTCAAGTTCGAGTCCCGGTGCCGGGGGAGTCTTTTAAATCCCCGCCCTCAACCACTGGCCCAGGAAAACCCCATATACTCTTAAAGATAAGGAAGAGGAGGAAAAAAGAAAAAAGAAAGAAATCGAGGGGCTGAATCTGGTTTCAAAAAAGTACTACAGCGAAAGAGTAAAAAAAAAAAAAAATTATAAAATAAAAAAATTGTTGTTTGGCTGGGGTCATATAAATATATAGTTGTTTGGAATTACAAGATCTCTCCGGGAGCTTGAGTTGAGCAGATGAAAGTCTCACCATTAGGGAAGGTGTGTTTGGCTGAACTTTGGTAAGTATATGAAGACAAACGAATTCAGTGCCACAAAGGAAGAAACAGTGTATATAGAAAAAAGGTTAGCTTGCCAAATTAACACTTGACTTTATTTAAAATCACACATTCTTTAGTATAGTTAAGTTCAGTTTTTTTTTTAGTCTTTTGATCTGATTGTCAGTATCCCACTCCTTGAGATAAAATAATTATAAATTTGAGTTTAATATATCATATTTTGTTTTTATTTAATAACCTCTTATTTCTTTTGGAAGTATCGCTACAGTACGAAGTGATCTTCCAGAAGTTTATATTATTAGCTAAAAAATATAAGAAATATTACAATATATTCCTAAAAAGAATTTAAAAATATGGTTCAAAGGACCTGTGCCAGATTAAACAGTCTTTCTTGTTAAACAGTACTTTCTTACATAATACTAAACCCAAGACCATTCAAGGGTTGTAGTGGTATAGGTAAGATAAAAGTAATTTTATGTTCACAATAGGGTTTGAATATAATTTATCTTCCTCCAGTTTTTTACTATTTAAAATAAATATATCATATTCTGCATTTTGAGGTTCCACCTCATATTCAAGAACTCAATTATGTCAATTATTATTTCATGAGTTAAAACATATATATAATTAAAGTGAGATTCAGAAAATGAAACAACAATTCGAAACACTGTTTGTGATATATTTAATTTGAATAAAAAACAGTCAATGAAGAGAAATAATTTTTAATTTTTTTTTTTTTACACGAACCGGCCAGCAAGGACCACCCTCAGCCCTCCTCCTACTCCAATACTCTCTCATCCTCCTAGACTGCTCCTCTTGCTCGTCCTTAGTCCATTTTCTTCCTCGTCTCTCCCTCCCGCCTACAAGAACTCCAACACCTATCAGTTTTTCCCTAAAAAGCTCTCTATCCAACCAATCTTTATCGGTGATTTTTAGCCTGTCTATTTCCTCTTTTATTTGTTTTACATAACCCCCTCCCCCTTCCCATACTTTTATAGCTACAAACTTTGTAACAAATATTCTTGTTCAGTCTTTCCCTATTCATCCTGACCATGTGCCCGTAGAACCTCAGTCTTCTGGTCCTGATAACTGTTTCCAAATCTTCCAAATGTCTGTATATTTCTTTATTGGATTTTAGCCTGTATATCTCTTGCGTTACCTTGGGTCCGTGAATACTCCTCAGAATCTACCTCTCAATCTTCAGGATTTTCTCTAGGCTCAGAAGGCTGACTGTTTTCATACCATATAATATCACAGGTCTTGCTATCGTACAGTAATGCCTTTTTTTTACATTTGAGGACAAATTTTTCTTGTTGTAAACATTCCTGGTGGCGAAGTTCAGTCTTCCCAGTTAGGTTATTCTTCCTTCGATTGATGCCTTATCCGTTCCTTTACTACATATTAACTCCCCTAGGTATTTAAACTTTTTGATCACTTCCATTTTCCCATATTGTCTTGGTGAAGTTGGTATCTGTTGTCATAATTTCTGCTTTTTCATAAGAGATATGTAGTCCCATTTTCTCGGATATTTCTTTCAGGGCGTTTACCTGTTTTGTGGCTTCCTCTTCTGTCTCTGCTAGTAGGGCAAGATTATCTACAAAGGCCATGACTTCTTTGTTCCTATTACCCTACCTGCCTCGTCCTTTCGCCAGAATATTGTCATAATTTTTTCCAACACTACATTAAAAAGTATCGGTGACAGAACGTCGCCTTGCCTAAGCACCGTGTTTATTTTGAATGGTTCACTTATTAGTCCCAGGAATTTTATTTTTGAAATGGTGTTGGTCAGTGTCAATTTTATCAAGCTTATTGTTTTTTGTTCTACTCCGTATTCCCTTAGAACTTGGAGCAATATATCCCTGTCTATCGAATCATAGACCTTTTTGAAGTCTATGAAGGAGATGAAGAGATTTTTCTGGGGTCTAGACCTGTAATATTTTATGATCAGTTTTAGGCTAAGTACAGGCTCCTGGCAGGATCTTCCCCTCCTAAAGCCTCCCTGGTATTCCTCTATCTTCCGATCTATTTGCGCTTCTAATCTATTAAGTATGATTCTAGAGAATATTTTATATGTTTTTAATTTATATATAAAGGAAATTTATGTATTAATGAAGAAATTTTAATTGATTGGAGAGTACTGCTGACACTCTGTCTGAAAATGTGTGTCGTCACTCTTATTCTATTTATGAACGGAAAATCTCAAAAGCTCCAACTCAATCTAGCATTCTTAATTTTCAAAACTTGCTTTTAGATTTATAGATTATAAGTATCACATAAATTTATAAACTGGTGAGTCAGTCAATTAAAATCTTTTAAAATAGTCTCAAAAATAATACAAAATGTAGAGTAAAATAAAACACAGGGCAAAACAACTTAACTATATACAAGTAATAAGGAAATTTTTTTTACATAAAGTGTACTATTCTATTATTAAATGGGTGAATTCCTCATTCTTAATATTCCTAATTCTAAAATAAGGTGTCCTTTAATATGGAACCAATAAATCAAAGAAGTTAATTGTTTAATAGAAATAAATAATAAAATACCACAGTTCCTGACATCCTTTCAGCATGAGCTAGTGTTCCAGCACCACTCCAAGTCCCAATAAAACATAGAAGGAGGAAAAAACCATATTTAATTGTACATATTTCACGCATCACTTGAGATTCATGGTTGCCACCTACTTCAATGCTCTGGAAGATAAAAGCAAAAATTACTTACTTATAAAAAAAAAAATCAGAATACATAGTTCATGTTTCAGGTTTGCAAATATAATTATGTAATCATTGAATGCATTTAAAGCTATATTAAATAAATACAAATTTAATTGAATGGAAAAGTATGCAAAATATTAACAAAACATGCTCATAGTTCTAGGTGCACAAGTATTTTTGGGTTCACTATAACATTTTAAAGTTCAAGTCCACAAGATGGCGTTGGCTATGAATCAGTAAGAAATCGAAGGCATAAAATTCACAACCAATAAATCGCCTAAACATTGTATTTAATTAACTAAATTAATGATTTCAAAACGAATAAGTAATGTTTGGACTAATACAAGCACAGACCCATATGCAAGTGCATTATCCTTGGTACTACTTCATAGGTGAAAAAAAAGAGCATTGGAAAATACTTATGAGAGCTGAAAAACAGAAGAAAGAAGGCAAACCTGAAAATATGAATCTATCGGAAGTCCCAAAAAGCTACGAGGATTATCAAAATTGGCCCAAACCCATAGAAGTAGAAATTCCAGCACTCCGTGAGAACAATACATAGATCTTAGTGGATTCCCCAAAGAATAGAAAGACTCGCCGGTACTTGTGACCGACGTCGCCTCTTGTGAACTCGTCATCTCCTTATGTTATGTTACGTCACCTAACCTGCCTTTTTATATAGTGTGAGCTGTTGTATGTGTGTTTATTCATTGTGCGTTATTAAAATGGATGTAATTACATTGTGGGAATTGCCGTCTTCAGAAGAAAAGGCTATAAAATATTTTCAAGATGCAGGCATAATTGCGAAAAAAAAACAAAAAAAAAACACCATTTTTATAATTTTACATCCATTTGCACTGTTTTTAAGAGAAGAGGAGATTAATAAATTTTCTTGGGAGGGCGGGCATGCACCATTGGCTTTGATGGCCATGACTGACTGCAACAACATCTAAAAAAAGGTTTCACAAGCAAACAGAAAATTTAACAAGGTTTAATCACAATCCGTCTTCAGAAGAAGAGGCTATCAAATATTTTCAAGACGCAGGGATAATTGCGATTCATATTTATGTGAATTATTTGTGCCGGCGGACTTGTGAATTACAGAGAAGCGGACCTGCTCCTCGCTATTTTAAATAGCATTAAGCTATTTTGCCTCCCAAAAGAAATGAATTATGTATGTTGTAAAATAAAAGTGTTGTTGTTGTTATTTATATTTCTTATTATTAAATTACTATATTGTTATTATATTGGGGATTACATGTCTGGGAAAGTGAACTGGGACTATTTATATTTATTACTAGCTTTACCCGGCCACGCACTGCTGTGGCTTAGCCTGGCAAAATGAAAAAGAAAGAAAATAGAAAGCACATATGAGTAGATTATCTGCAAAGGACATCTGTCATTTTTAAATAGTTGGGAAACAAATTTGTCTGTAAAATGGCTTCAATTTAAACTAATTATAATGATTTTTTTTCTCATGATTCAAATTGAACATTCAGAATAATCTGAGTGAATACGCCGTCATTCATAATCATCAGCGACAGTCTGAGTTGAACTTATAAAACTAAATTAAAAAATTAATAAAAAAACGTATAATAGTATTGACCTACATAAAGAGAATCATATAATTTCAATTACTGTAGTAATTATAAAATTTTCGATTAATCAATAAGAAAAAATAAAAAAATGCTTGCCGACCTTCGGTAGTGAGGAAGCAAAAGGAAACGGCATTTTCTGAAGAGAAAGCCGTAAATGTTTAAAACTCTATAACTCTGCAACGAACCGTCCGATTTCAATGATTTTTTTTTATTTTGCCAGCAATTCAGAAATCTTTCAAATAAATGTGGGAATTATTGGTCAATTGTGTTCTTTTTTAGTTATCGTCAAATAAAATATTGAATCCATCGTAACATTTTTCAGCTTATTTTCGGGAAAGTATGTTATACACATAAATTAAAGGGGTTTCAAGGGGAAGACTTAAGCCAAGTTTCGTTAAAATCGGTAAAGTCGTTTAGCGGTACACTTTATAGCGACACATTTTTTTGCGGCTTTGAACAGAAAAACATTTACAAAGTTCCATGGCGATCGGTTGAATGGTATAGTAATGCACTAAGGACAAACAGACAGACAGACATACATTCATTTATATATATATATATATCAGATTATTAAATTACTAAATTATTGTTATATTTATATTTCTTATTATACGAGGGTCTAATTTCATATGAAGATAGGAATTAATTATCAGTGTGTTATAACAATTATTAGTGTTCAGATTATAAACATTGGCAGATAGCAGTCCATAGAGTCACAAATACCGACTCGCGTTGTCGTTATGTAGATGCACATAAACTAAAACAATAACTAGACGGTTGTACCGAAAAAAATTAGAGTCCGACCCTTATTTATTGGGTAAAAGTCAGGAAAAGGCGTGAACTCTAACAAAATTTAGTCCTGTTGCTAGAATGAATTCAGTTTGGATTAATCTAGCTGCAACAACCAGCAGAAAAATGAGTAGATCAAATTGACCTCTCAAATGCGTTCCTATTTGAGAATTACTGAACTAAACCAAAAATAAGTTATTTACACGTAAAAAGCGAAAGGCTTTTGTAATAATGAAATGCTAACTAAAGTATAGTAGTTTTATAAGTAAATGATAGATTGGTAACATCTACAATTTAAGATTGTTTAAAGATTTGATTTGATTGAAAACGTCATTGTAAAGTCGTTTCAACTTCAAATTTAAATAACATGGTAAGTATCGAATCAAGAGGGAAAACCCGTAATTTTCTTTTCAAGGAGGTTTAATCTTTCATACTATTTCAACTAGACCAGATATAGTCTATGCTGCTGTATCTAGATCATTAGAAAAACCTTCAGCAGAGAAATAATTAAGATGAAGAGCACATTCCGAAATCTATAAAGACATCCGAGAATATAAGAATTATATACCGTTACATTAGCGTAATCTTAGGCGTTAATGACCTCAGGATTTTACGCCTCTAAGCCCTGAGCAACAACATTAGCGCACTAGCGGATCGAGGATTTAATTTTGAGGGGAGCTTCAGCCCGAAAGCTTTTTTTTCATAAAAATAATAAAAATTACTTTGGAAAAAAAGAATGAAACTAACTACCGATATGAAATGGTGTTTAAGTTATTCCTAAAGTCCTTTTAAATGTAATTACACGAACAATAATACTTTAAGAGATATTTTTAAAAAAAAATTTTCCATAAAATACGGTTATATTTTACCATTTTGGAGTGGGCTTCAGCCCTAAACTACTCCCCCTCCCCCGTAGATCCGCCCGTGCATCAGCGTAATCCAGATTTAAAGATACAACGAAGCAGATCTGAATGGAGATCTCAGGACAAGAACATCGAATAACATGGAATGATGTGAGCAGGAGGAATTTTAGAATATCAAATCACTAAGTAATTTGATGAATATTCCCTTTGTGAAATCAGATTCACAAAGGGTTCGTTCACCTACTATTACATTAATTATTCTGGAGGCCTAATAGTGTTGTTATTTTGATGCACTTCTTGAATTTTCGCATCGATAAATATGTTGAAAATTCACAAATATGTACCTTAGAATTTAGCTCCATCAACATTTTGCAATAAACGAACAATAGCTATATATATATATATATATATACATACATACAAAAATAGTTTAAATTTATAGAAATAATTATATAATTATATTATAACTTCGTTGTATTGAAGAGAAAAAAAAGAATATGCTTACTTTATTAACTTTTCCAACATCGTCATATTTCTTCTTCTTCACATCATCATATCTCTCCCCCTTCGAAATATTTGGATCTTGAAACTTAGGTTTAGTAAACTTGCCATCTGAATGAAAAAAAAAATATATATATAACATATATTTGCATGTTTCACAAAATTAAACTTCAGTCACGGTGGGAGCCAGGGTTTTCGTCAGAGAGCTTAATTTTACCCTACCTTATTTCACCTCCCACTAACATTCAATATTTTAGATATTTTATCTCGGGAAAAATATAATCATCAGATAATATTCACTCATGACATTGACTGAATTAAGGTCAAAACCAAAAACTAGAAAAAAATATTTTTTTTCTAAAGCTAAAAGAAGTCTGTAAATTCTGTGACCCGGACCAGCGTGCAAGCTTCCCCTTTTACCCTTATTAGTTCTGGCCCTGATTTCAGTGATGTAATTAACTCATCAAAGTCTAGTTTATCTAAACTAATTAAACTTAGTCTGACTTGTAAAATGTGATAAATGTGATAAAGAGTCAGAATATTAATAAAGACATAATACGGCCCTCCTCTTTCAATTTGGAGGAGATAAAACCTATTATAAGGAATGCCGATAAAATACAGCACTCGGTGTTGAAGAAATCTCATTTGAAATTATAGCTGTGTAAAGAGAAGATTCATATACTACAGCTAGGCAATCAAAATGGAGTGACATGTAGCTTCTCTTGCCTTTGAAAAATATCTATAGTTATTCCGTATAGTCAGTACTTGAAAGCCTTCATTGCTCGAACCATGCCCTGAAGATGACTCACATGTTTGGGTTGAAACGTTGGCACAAATAAAAAAAATTGTATAATGACTCCGTCCTGACTATTTATAACCCATTATAGTTATTCCGATTTCGAAAGATGATAACTTTATTTCTCTATCGACTTTCATCAATATGCCTTTTAGGCTTCGATAGAAAATGGCCAATTCCAGATTAATTATTAATGCAAAATGAAAATTAATCTTCTTTCGTCATACTAATTCGGATGCAGAAAAAATTGTTCCACAAATTTTAGCATTTTATTGCTACGAAAATAGGAACTGGTACCGGGGGGATGGGTGTGAGATGAAGTGAGGATAAGGCTCTTTTTGTCTCCTCCCCTTATTTTATGAAAGGTAACCAGAATTACGCTGGTATTACGATATTTATGTGTCATTTATGACACAGTGAATATATGACTAGTAAAAATCATAATATGAAAGGTAATGAAAAGTGAATATGTATTTGTATGTGTGAATGGAAAGGTACATATGTATATTAAAAACTACCAGTGGAACAAAGTTTCTTTGAACGGATCGAAATATTTCTTTGACCTACCTGTTAGTTGGAGAGGAAAACACTAAATAAGCTTCACCTTATTTTTGATAAGCTAATAATTAAATATTTGACTTAACGATTAGATTTAACATATAAAAAAAAACCTGTACCACTACAACCCATGAAGAGTCTTGGATTCAGTGATATTTAGGGGAAATACTGTTACAAGGCCAACGGTTGTGCAGGGAGGAGATCGGGCCAGGTTCTCCCCCTTAATCAATTATTTAATTAAGGATATCCACTTTGCAGAAGCTGGGTGTGCCCCAGGAGGGTCTCCCTACCCCAGGGGCGCCCCATGGTCAATGAAACAGAATAAATAATTTATCTGTCATGATCCGGGATTCCAACCTAAGACCTCGAGCTTTGGAAGTTCATTGCATTAGATTTAAGGCACTAGATATATCGAGGGGACACTGTTGCATTAATCCACCGCCCTCACTTCCTGACCCGAGAAAACCCAGTATAGCATAAAAGGCGAGGAAGGATGACATAAAGAAAAAATCGAGAGGCTGAATATGGTTTCGAAAAATTACCACCTATTTTATAGCGAAAGAGTACCATCTCCACGACCAAAGAGTAACATCTTTTAGCCCCTCTTCGTTGAGTGTGAATGCCCAGTATTCCCTTCCATATATAACAACTGGTTGTAGGGCCGTCTTATATGCTCTTTTTTTGTGACATTTTGATTAGCCAAGTCAAATTAGCACAAAAAAGGGTGTGTAGCTTGCAAAAGGTTCAAATTCAAAGGGGTAGTTCAAATTTCTTTTTTATATTGTTAGGTATGTAGTGAATTAAAAAATCCAAGTTTCCGCCTTGAAAGCATTGAATGTTCGCTGCAGTGGTCCAAAAGCCATTGAAATTTCCAACTTTTCTTGGTTTACGCTAAATATCTCTTATTTTAAGTTACGTAGATAGTGTTTAGAATGTAATATTGAATTCAAACAGATAAAATTTAGCAGATCTATATATTGGAACTGGTACTGGTACTGGTGGGGGAACTAGTACGGCAAATAGGCCTATCGTGGTCCTTTTTACCAATCTCTGACAGTCATCTTGAGGTTGCCGCCGCGTACTAACCAGAGTGGGAATGCAGCAGACGCCTTGTTTGTTCTTCAGTCTCCTTCCTCCAGTTTAGGTCCTAATGTTCGTCTTAGAATTTTCCTTTCAAACCGATCTATTCGTTCAGCAGATGCCTTCGTTAGAGTCCATGTCTCGCACGCATATGTTGCAACTGGCCGAATAATTGTTTTGTGCATCCTAAACTTCGTTGTCCAAAAAGATTTTGTCCCATATGTGACTCTGGTCTTAATTTCTTCTATAAGTATGATGTAAACTTATGTATGTGGCATGTAAACTTGGTAACCACCAAGAAATAGTCTGGGTCTAAATCGGGACCTAGGTAAGTCTGGACGTCATGCACACTGTTGAAGTATTTACTGGTGACAAGAATGTGGTCGATGTGAGTTGTTGCTCCATTTGGAGAAGTCCAAGTTCCATAATGTTCATATTTCCATAATGTATAATGTTCATACTTGGAATATTTTTTTTTAATACTATTATTGATAATATTTTTTCGGTCCATATTATGGACCGATATGTCAGCCTTTTGTCCTTATTTTATCATGCTTCATGTAGTTTCACTTGGAATATTATTTATGCTAATAATAAATGTGCCAACTAATCACCACGGAATGGATATAAACATAAATGTGAGTAAAGGCCTATCTATTGGCCTTAAGATTTAATTTTATCAAGATTGGTAGAGTTTGCTAATTTTTTTATTTTGTGCATGTCTTTTTCCAAATTTTATTCGGTCCATCACATGGAGCGATATATCGGCCTTTTGACCTTATTATATCATGCTTCATGTAGTTTCACTATGTATATCATTCATACTGATAATAAATGGGCCAATTAATCGCCACAGAATCGATATAAAAATAAATGTGAGTAAAGGCCTATCTATCGGCCTTAAGATTTAATTTTCTAAAGATTGGTAGAGTTTGCTAATTTTTTTTATTTTGTGCATTTTATTCCTATTTTATTCCTATTTTATTCCAAATTTTATACAAGGCCTTGTAACTTTCATTGAACGGGGAAGGACCGTTCTGCTGGTTATTTATTATTTACACTATTTACAATATATACACATTAATGGGTTTGGACTGCAGAATCCAAAACACATCCTTCGACGAGTATGTCCACCAAAGGGACTTTACCTTGCCACTTCCCAGGTCTGAGTGGTGGTGAGATTTCATTGAACAGTGGGTTTGCACAGGCCTTTAGCAAAAAATTTGATGTGCCTCCAGCCTATCAACTCAGGTTCCGAAGGGAGCTGGAGCTCCTCGCGTAATGTTTGATTCTTAGCCCTTTGCAGGGTGGTGCCACGGATAATTCGCCGAAGGATAGGATTCTGGAAGCTCTGGAGACTCGTAAGCCGGGATTTATATAGGTATCGCAGGAGAGGGGTCCCGTGGAGCAGTGTAGGTCTTATAATAGCTTTATAAATTTGAAGCTTGAGTCTCAGCGAGAGCTGCGGTGATTTCAATAGGTGGTAGAGCCGGTGTGACTTATTTTGCCGTGCCAGCTTGATCCTCTGCCTAACGTGATTGGAGAAGGTTAAATGTCTATCAAGCGTAACGCCAAGGTAGAAAATCGAGGTAGAGATTTTATGATAAGCTCCTCCAACGGTTAATTGTGTGTGTATATGCTTCTTTCCCTTCTGGAACGACATGACAATAGCATCAGTCTTCGCAGGGTTCACTCTGATACCGATTTCTTCTAGTTCTTCAACAATTGTGGCTGAAGCATTCTGTGCCGGCGTGAGTGCAGTCTGGAAGCATATATGCCAATGTCGTCCGCATAGGCTGCTACCACCTTTGGATGCTTGTGCCACCACAGGCGCCGTGAAAACGAAAAAGTCCTTTTTAAATGGTTTTAACAAAAGCAAACTCTATTTTTATTTAAAGTAAATTTTATCTAATTTACAGTAAAGTAATAGGTAATTAATTAAATTAAATACTTTTTTATTTATCACTTCCTATTCACCAAAAAACGTGACTTAAAAAGCCACACATCTTAATTTCCTGCTGAAAATCGAACCTTTGTTTATATAAACTTTTTTGTGTTTCTTGAGTTCTGCTATCGCTCCTTTAAATGATATACAATATTGAATTGGTAATGTTGGACCAACTTTTATTTCATTTCTTTTTTCAGGCCCTCCTCTTCTCCTAATTGGGGCAAATGCCGATATTCCGAAGACCAATATACCGGCTTCACAACCTTATTTTATCAAGATTAGTAAGGCTTTCTGTGGAATATTATTTATATAGCTAATAAATGAGCCAATTAGTCACCAAGGAATCAGCATAAACATAAATTTGAGAAGATACCGATACTCCAAAAACCTATATATGGGCCTGATGACTTCCTTTTATCGATATTGAAAGAGTTTTACCATTTTCTTTGTTTTTTTTTTTGTTTTTTTTCCTTCCATTTCCGTCATTTGAGAAGATAGCGATATTCCAAATACTGATTTTCCATTAAGACCTTATTTTAACAAAATTGGCAGAGTTTGATTATTTATTTATTATTATTTTTTTTATTTTGGTCCTCCACTTTCTCTAATTTGAGTAGATATCGAAATTCCCGGCTCTATGGCCTTAACCGATATATTCGCCCTTACGAACGTTTTTATTTTTATTAGTAATAAAAATAATATTTTAAATGAAACTTTCAATCCCAAAAACAAGCTTGTGAGGCCGATATATTGGTCTTTGAAATATTGTTATCTGCCCAAATTAGAGGCAAGGGCCAGAAAAAAAATTTCAAACTCTACCAATAATCAATAAAATAAGGTCCTAAGGCCGATATATCGGTCTTTGCTCAAAAGTATGTTTATCTTGATACCTTGATGAATGATTGACACATTTACTAGCAATCAAAATAATATTCAAAGTGAAAGAAGCCAATAACGGTTCAAGAAGATGACCGGAATGTTGGCAAGATATCCACAAAAAATAAAACAAATGATGTTCAAAGTGAAAATTTGGAAGATGTTGAAAAGAAAAAAATTAATAAAATAAAAGGTTTTGACTTTACTAATCTCAATAAAATAAGTTAGCACCCTTTACTCGTGTTTATGTTTATGTCTATCCCTTGAGGATTGATTGACACATTTATTCCCAGTAAAAATAGTATTTCAAATAATTCTCACTTTATGAATCTCGATAAATTAAAATCGTAAGGCCGATATATCAGCCCAATGGGAATAAAAACAAAACAAAAAGTTTGTAAGTAATGGAACACAAATAAAAGTTGTTAAACTGTATCGATTTTGATAAATAAGGTTGTAAAGCCGATATATCGATGTTTCGAATAACAGTATTAGCTTTAATTAGGGGAAGGAGATGACAAAAAAAATAATAATAAATTGTTAAAAAGAAAATTAATATTGTATACCGTTCTTGATAAAATATCGTTCATACTTGAAGACAAAAAATAAAAAAAAAAATGGAAGAAGAGGAACATCAAGAAAATAAAAAAGTCTTGCTCTACCAATCCTGATAAAATATGGTCGTGATGCCGAAATATCGGGGTTTGCCCAAATTAGGCGAAGGAGGTGGCCAGAATAAGAAAATTAAATAAAAATTGGTCCAACACTACAAATCCGATTTCATTAAAATATGGTCATGAGGCCAATATATCGGTCTTAAGGATCACCAGCGGATCCAGGATTTAATTTTTGGGGGGGGGGGCTTCAGCCCGAAACTTTTTTTTTTCATAAAAACAACGATAATTAATTTGGAAAAACAGAAAGAAACTAACTACCTATATGAAATGGTGTTTAAGTTATTCCTTAAGTTTTTTTTTTTATTAACGAAATTTACAACTGTAATTAATAATAAACACAACAAGTAAATATGAACAAGTAATATGACATGTACAACATGAGGAGAAACTACCCATTGGTAGCACTCCAATATTCCTTAAGTACTTTTAAATGTAATTACACGAACAATAATACTTTAAGAGGTATTTTTTAAATTTTTTTCTCATAAAACATGGTTATATTGTTCCATTTTGGGGGGCTTCATCCCAAAAGCCCTCCCCCCCGTAGATCCGCCCGTGTTTAGGATATTCGTATCTGCTGAAAATCTGAGAAGAGGATGAGCAACAAAAAAAAACAATAATCAGTCAAACTCTACCAATCTTAATAAAATAAGATCCTAAGGTCGATATATCGGCCTTTGACCAAATTTATATTTATGTTGATCCCTTGACAAATGAGTGACACAATTATGAGCAATTAAAATAATATTCAAAGTGAAAGAAACCGATATATCGGTTTAAACGGATGACCAGAAAATTGTGCAGTGGTGCTTACAAAAAAATTAAACAGATAAAAAAGAAGAAATCAAACTCTACTAATCTTAATAAATAAGGTTGTAAGGCCGCTATATCGGTGTTTGGAATAACGGTATTTGCTTTAATTAGGGGAAGAAGAGGACAAAATAATAATAATAAATTAATAAAAACAAAAATGAATATTATATACCGTTCTCTATAAAATATCGGTCATATGTGAAGACAAAAAAAATTGGAAGAAGAGGACATAAAAAAAAAAAAATTGTTCAAAAATTATGTTAAGAATATGACTTTTATCACTTATGATCAAAAATAAAAATAGCTCTAAAATAAATCATAAAATCATTTTTAAAAATTGATTTTCCTTTTTTTAATTATCGATTTCAAACCCTGTTAAATTTCATTAAAAAATATATGTAGAAATATAATATCATCTATTTCATACAATAGATTATTGTAATAATCAGCAGTAATTAAACATAAAATATCTTTACCGTGTTGATTTATATTCATACTCTTGACCTCATATTTTGTGAAGTTATTTCGGTGATCAAGACGTAAATCCATAGTCTGCAAACCATTTTGCGTATTTTCTTCTTCATAACTATAGTAGGTATCTCTTGGTGCGGGTTCATTATTTGACAATATGTTTTTGACACTAGCCAAGAACATGATGAGCAGGCAGGGCCAGAGGATGTCAATAGTGGTCATTACATACCTGTTCTTGTAGATGGAGAAGCTTTTGTACAGGAAAGCTCTCCACACTGCAAAAGACATGGTACTATGGCCTTTTAGAAGAACCTACGGAAAGAAATTGCATTAGTATTAAAATAAAATAAGATAATAACAACAACAATTGTATAAATAACCAATGTCACCTTTGCATAACATTATGCCTAAAAAATAAATTATTTACAGGAAACGAAAACTATATTTTCTATAAAAACAGGCAAAAACAAAATATGGTAAACATTTTTGATTAATTAGTTTACATTCTTGACCTTTCTTCATTATAATTTATTCTCCTCCACATCTTTTCCTACAGATTAAAATAAAAAAAAAAAAATACTTGTATTTATAGCTGTTTTTTTCAATACAAAGGACATGAAAAAAAAAAAAAAAAATTAAAAATCCTACTTCTGTCTAAACATATATATAAGATTATTTTCAAACATCCAATATTATATTTATTCTTTTCACAATAATTATGTTGAATTTGTACAAATAATAGGAACTAGGTACAGCCATTTTTTTTTTGTCCATCGCCGCTCCAATCAAAGTGGAAAATCTGCGTCTATGTTTTGAAATGAAATGAAATGAAAATATATTTTTATTACCCTGGGACTGTAGTCCCTCTAGGAAATATTATAGATACAGAGGAAATGCCTGTGAAAGGCCATAAGATTAAATTAAATATTTACAATTCTCATTAAAATTAAAATATTGGAAGAAAATTAAAACAAAAACGCTAAATATATACAGATAAATATAATACAAACATATGGAAATAAAATAATATAAGTAAACAAAATCATTTCTGGGAGAACTTCAAAATTTCTCTTATCTACTTTTCTTGGTCGGTCGGGTTGGGAAAGAAGTACGTGCTTAAAAAGGAGAGATTTAAATGAGGAAACTGATCGCACATGTCGGATATCGGGAGGGGACTATTCCAGATTGAGACGACTTGAATTATAAACGATTTGTCAAACGCAGCAGTTCGATGAGGAGGTGGGTAGAGGTCAGAAGCACGGGATCTAGTAGGACGGGATTGAATGGAATATTTAAATTGTAGGCTGTGAAAAATATATGAAGGTCGATAAGTTCTGATGGCTTGGTATAGAAAGGTTATACAGAACAATTAAAAATTAAATTTTTTTATAAGTAACTTGTGTACACTAATTAATTTTTTTAATTTACTCGTTAGTATCTTTGCTTATAATTGTTCGATCTCCATGATTTTTTTTTAATAACTTTTCAAATAATCATGGATGCATTCAACAAAAAAATGTATATTTTTTTAGTTATTCGCAAATAAAGTATATTTTTGAGTTATTCGTAAATAAAGTTGAGTCAATCCTACATCAAGTTTTTTTCCTTAAATTTTTTAGAGGATGTGACAATAATTCGCCATTTCTCCTTGAAATTCTCATTCGTTTCATCGCTGATTAGTCAAAGCTCCTGAGAGCCGGAAATGGGATTTAAACATTGAAAACTATCGTATTATATTTAAAGATAGATATTTCTCTGTTGAACTGATTACTATAGTAACCATTTCACTTTTCATTAAAAAATGTCCCCTGCACTGCACTAAAACATCCATAACTCCTCAGAATTTTCTCCTAAATCACTGTTACTGTAACCCTTGGAAAGCTGAATTATTTCTCTTCGAAACATAGCTCTTAAAAACTCTTCACAGGTTTTTGTTTTATTTTACGATATACAATAATTTTTTTTTTTTTTTTGTCATTTGATTTGTCATCAGAAAGTATGAATTAGATAGAAACAGAGAGCGAAAATAAGAGAAATGTATAAGCGGAGAGAAGGTAAAGAAATGAAAATATAATGTTAATTCAAAAATAATAAATAAAAATACTGAAAAAGATACAACAAAAAAGGAGACAATACTGAAACCTATTTGGACTTACGGACTAGAACTGTGGGGATCAGTAAAATTTTCTAACATCAAGCGCATTCCAGTCAAAAGTCCTTCGAACAATAGTCAATGGTTAATTATTCTTTGTAACCAACAAAACCCTACACCATGACCTTAATATCCCATTTGTCCTAGACCTTATCCCAGAAAAATTCTCCAAATTCCACCAGAACCTTACCCATCATCCAAATCCCTTTGCACAATCTCTATTAAGCACCACCCATCCATATAATCATCCAAGGAGGTTAAAACGGCAGTGGCCTCGCGATCTTTTATAGTTTGTAAATATTGGAGTTCTGGCAATGGCCAGATTCTCCACTCACGACATGAGTGTATGTGGCTAGAGCACTCTTGCTCAATCTCCACTGGGTTTAGCCCTCGTGACATGGTTGAGAGAGGACTGCAGGGAACTCCTGGAGTCATACTTTTCCCTCCACAGTTGGAGGGACAAGTCTGGCTTGGAGTTCTCTCGCCACATTGTACATATTGTATATAGGTGTGTATGTGTTCTTTTTATTTATTTATTTTTAGATTATTTTATTCTTATTTATTGTATATATATTATTTTTCTGTATAATTTATTTTATTTATTGTACATAGAGTGTATACATTTATTGTAACTCTATTATAAATGTCCTAGAGACAGATTGTAGTATTTTTCAATAAATAAGTTTAAAAAAAAAAGAGGAAAACCAATTGTTTACTATGCTCATATATATATGTATATATATCAATGATACTGTATATTTGTATATTACATTTAATAACATAAAAGTCTTTGAAACTCAAAATAAATGTAAGTGTAAATTTTTTTTTTTAAATTTATTTATTGATGATATTTACAACTGTATTACAAGTAAAAATACATTCAGTAAATGTGAACAAAAGAATATAATAACATGAAATCACTTGTTGAGAAACAACCCACTGGTAGCACTCTAAAAATGTATTTACAAAAGGAGATCTCGAGGCCATCTTCTTGTCAGACGCCTCAGAAGGTTGCCAGGGATCGAAGAGGAAGCAAGGTTAGAAACGGGAGGGTTTGGATGGTTCTGAAGTTTGTTGGGGAAGAATAGGTATCTGGATTGGGCCAAGTCAGAAACATAAGGAACATTAAGGTCGTTATGGATGTTTTTGTTTGTGACAAAGTAAGGAGCAGTGAGGATTTTACGAAGGATTTTGGATTGTAAGGATTGGATACGAGAGGAATTCGATGGCTTAGTAAAGTGTAGTAATAAAATTTATAACTGCGCTATTTTCAATATGAAACTTTTTTAGCTAAGAAAACATTTGTAAATACAAAGAGATATATAATTTGAATTCCGAACATAATTTAATTTTTATACCACTTACAGTTATTTTTGTGATCATTTTCAGTTATTTTGCTTTTCAGAAATGAACAAATACACAAGAAAGTGAAGTGTTGCGAGATTTTTTTAAATTTGAATAAAAACTTTAAAATACATTTTTGAAAGCTAAGGTCTTGCAGGGTGACACGAAATAGTATTTTAAACACATTTAGGCAACAAAAAAAATCAGTTTTTTTTTTTGACGTCTTTCAGGATGGTAGAAACTCGCGAATGAGCTCCCTCAGTCAAATGGTTAACTACTTGTGTTGCTTGAATGGTGGTATGAGGTGGTTGCTTGAATTTTATTGTGGATTAGATTAAATGTTGAGAGATGTCAGACCGGAATAACGAGATTATATTTTTCCTGGGATGTTATCAAGGCGAACTCTGCATATAGATGATAAATGGCGAACTCTCCAAGAGATAAACTTCAGAAAGGAAGAAGAAAGTTGCTCACGCTTGGACCAGACCCAGTAATTTAGTTATTAATTAATTAATTAATAAGAATTTATTGTATAAGTATTTATCTAATATATTTATTACATATTATTAATTACTGATGACGGTTTGCAATCTACACGAAATGATGTTTAAGCGGTCCTTAATGGCAAAGAAAAAAGTCTGCCGAGTAAGGTCAGTATGTATAGCTTTCTCACCATTTTCATTTGCTAAAAAATATCTATATTTAAAGATCTAAAAATTTTCTTATGAGAATAAAATCTTTTCGGAAATTCAGTAATCCTTCAACGCATACGAGCTTGATATCATACCCGGATTTGCTGATTGCATATTTGATAATTCGTAATTAAAAAAAAAAATCAGTGCATACTGAATATATATCTCGCAACTATTAGTGCAAATGACTTATATAAAAATTGATTATTTTACAGGAGAACATAAAAACTAATTATTTCTTTATTATTTATTAGTATAATTTTATATTTTATCGCTCTCGCTATAGTAGACTACTTATATCAATTCCAGACTACATAATGTCAAAAATTTAAAACTTTTACATACGACGTTTGCACAAACAGTAGTGATATATACTTAATAGGTATGTTTTACTCGTAAAATGGATGGATCAAAAAATCTATAAGAAAGTTCAATTTTTGTTTGTTCGGTGTTAACGAGACCAATATTTTTCTTCAGTCAGAATAAAACCAATTAAGCTGGAATATAAAAACATGAGTGAAGTTGATAAAATTTTTATAATTAAGGAGAAAATCGAGATCACGACGAGCTGGTTGAACTTCAATGCAAATAAACGCAATCACAAATAAGACTTTTTTTTATTATTAATTTAGAGTAAAAATTACTTTAAATTTACTGGAAATTATACGAATTCTATGTAACGGCAATAAGTGTCATGCCAGTAACGTTTGAAATCGACCAAACAATACAGTATAAATTAAATTTTTCACAGCCATTATATTGTTAACAAGTATTAAATTAAAAAAAAAAAAAAAAAAGAAAATGTTTTACTAATTGTTATGTATATATATATATATATATATATATATATATAGATAGATAGATAGATAGAAAGTAAACTTTATTCTGGGACAAGGTCCCTTATGAATAACAGATATGAACAAAAAAATTAAAACTACATCTGGCCAAAAATTACATTAATCAATATTAAAGAATATATACAGTATCTTCAGTGAAATTAAATTAAAACAAGTAAAAATAAAATAAAATTTTGAGAAAAAACGAAATAAAAAAAACAACATTATTTAAATGAAAATAAAAATAAAATAAAATAAGCATGGGTTGATTTTTAAAATTAAGACAAT